TATATTGTAATTATCTCATAGTATTATTTTGGAGACTTCAATTTGCCACGGGACAAATTTTTAAAGGAACAGATCAAATTGGATGAAGGCTGGGTACCTTTGGAGATCATGATAAAATTCAACAGGTAAAAAACCTTTTAAAAATCATCTTTAGATTTTTCTGTTAACAATGAGTGCTACTATGGTTTACAGTGTTTTTATATCAACTCTTTTTCAGGTTAAACCGTCTCACAACAGACTTTAATGTAATTGTGGAAGCATTGAGCAAATCCAAGGCAGAACTCATGGAAATCAGTGAAGATAAAACTAAAATCAGAAGGTCTCCAAGTAAACCCCTCCCTGAAGTGACTGATGAGTATAAAAATGATGTAAAAAACAGATCTGTTTATATTGTAAGTGGGCTTTTAATATCTAATATTTATTTAGAAAGTATAGTAGAGTGGGTAAGAATAAGGGCTCAGGAATCACAGCTTCACCAATTACTGTATGTGCTTTGGCAATGTTCTTAACCTCTCTAAGCTTTATCTTCATTGGTATTTTCTACCCTATAGAACTGTTCTGAGAATTAAATGCTGAAACCTATATATAATTACCATTGGATGACATCTTTGGTGTATTGTAAGCACCCAGTTCATTTTAGCTGTTCTTATTTATCAATAGGTAAACTTGATCACAATTTTCTTTAGCATACTAATTTTGAAATAGCTGTTTTATTATGGAAAGTTTCAGACATACAGAAGTAGATTGAATAGTATAATGTACCATTACTCAACTTCATCAGTTATTAACACATAATCTCATTTTATCTCTGCCTCAACTATTTTGAAGCACATACCAGATGAGTCACTTTTATTGCACTGGAGAATAATGGCTTTTAAAGAAGGCTGTTAAGCAGTTAAGAGAGAGAGAAATAGAAGGAGATAGGTATATCTTGGCTTCGTTTCAAGACAAAATAAATTATGTGCTCTGGCTAACTGTTTACCTGAGAGCTCATTATTTGTACCTTTCTTCCCACTCTTCACAGAAAGGCTTCCCAACTGATGCAACCCTTGATGACATAAAAGAATGGTTAGAAGATAAAGGCCAAGTACTAAATATTCAGATGAGAAGAACCTTGCACAAAGCATTTAAGGTATGATTGTATGATGATACAGACTTTTTCTGGTTTTGAAATATATGGGACATAACTTAAAAAATGTCTTCCCTTTTAATAGGGATCAATATTCGCTGTGTTTGATAGCATTGAATCTGCTAAGAAGTTTGTAGAGACCCCTGGCCAGAAATACAAAGACACGGACCTGCTAATACTTTTTAAGTAAGTCTTTTTGCTAATGTTTCTTCTGGCCACTTAATTATATGAAATTGACACACTGGGGTAAGGAGCATCAAGTAATATCTCCCTCCTATAAGGCTAATATTTTTTGTATCCTTACACATCCTTTGTGAAATGCTTGAAATTTGTTCAGTGGGAATGGTACTAGCTAGTCCTAATAAAAAAAAGTATTTATTAGTACTTTTTGCTGCAATTATAGAGGAGGCTAAATTTCAGTACTTGTTTTGCATCTAAAACTTATAATCAGGCTGAATACTAAAATTTGGGTTTTTTTTTTTTTTTTTTTTTTTTTGAGACAGAGTCTCACTCTGTTGGCTGGGCTAGAGTGCTGTGGTGTCAGCCTAGCTCACTTGCAACCTCAAACTCTTGGGCTCAAGTGGTCCTCCTGCCTCAGCCTCCAAACCTGGCATGTGCCAACAAACCTGTATAATTCTTTTTTTTTTTTTTTTTTTTTGAGACAGAGTCTCACTCTGTTGGCTGGGCTAGAGTGCTGTGGTGTCAGCCTAGCTCACTTGCAACCTCAAACTCTTGGGCTCAAGTGGTCCTCCTGCCTCAGCCTCCAAACCTGGCATGTGCCAACAAACCTGTATAATTCTTTTTTTTTTTTTTTTTTTTTGAAGATGGGGTCTCACTATGTTGCCTAGGCTATTCTCAAACTCATAGGCTCCTGCCTCAGCCTCCCAAGTAGCTAGTGCTACCAGCGTGAAACACCACACCCAACTAATTTTTTTCTATTTTTAATAGAGGCTAATTTTTTTTCTATTTTTAGTAGAGACAGGGTCTCTTTCTTGTTCAGGCTGTTCTTGAAGTCCTGACCTCAAGCAATCCTCCTCCCTCGGCTTCTCAGAGTGCTAGGATTACAGATGTGAGCCACATCGCTTGGCCTCCATAGCAGCTGTTATTCTTGGATTTGGATTTTACAATTTTCCTTTTATGAAATTAACTCTATAGAAAAATGTGAAACATTAAAGTTTCCTAATTTTTAATTTTATTATAGTACTTTGTTGTTTTAAACATTATTTACTTTTTTTTCCCCTATACATTATTGATAAATGAAAACCAGCATGAGACTGCTAATGGATATGAGATTTCTTTTGGGGGCTATGAATTAGTAGTGAGGCTTATACAATTTGAATATACTAAAAAATATTTAAGGTACACTTTATGAGGGTAAGTTTTAAAGGTATGTGAATTTTTTCATCGTAAAGCTGTTATATAAGCATGAGAGTAACTTCTTTGGCATATTTTGTATTTTTAGGTGATTATGTTGATACAAAATGTGTGTAACACTCCTTGCTATGCTGTGTCTTAAGTCATTCAAAGTAATTAGCAGTCTTGTCTTTGTTCTCACGAACTTTGCCTCTGTATTGTGTGTTCTTTAGGGAAGATTACTTTGCAAAAAAAAATGAAGAAAGAAAACAAAATAAAGTGGAAGCTAAATTAAGAGCTAAACAGTAAGTATGTTGAAGTAATCGTTATGAAGCTAAATTAAGAGCTAAACAGTAAGTATGTTGAAGTAATCGTTATATAATTTGAATTCCTTAAAGCTCTTACAACAGTATAGTTAGTGGTTCTGTAAGGGCTGATGGTGAGCTCTGAAATGAGTGGCAAAGGCCTTTTTTTCGGGTGAAACATTGGAGAGCTTAAGCTGCCTTGATAATTTGAGGGCCCCGTTGTGTTGCAATCTAGCACTGACAATCAGAAAACCTAAGGACTGGCTTTGGTTATTTAATATTAGTTTCGTGATCATGATCAAGGTTAACTTTATTAGGATTTCATTTTCTTATGTAGTAACTGAAAATGTGTAATTAGGACGCTTTTATTTGTAGAGAGCAAGAAGAAAAACAAAAGTTAGAAGAAGATGCTGAAATGGTAAGTATATATTACTGGTATCTAATACATCTATAATTCAAAGTTATAAGAATAACTTAAAAGCCTACAGACTTTTTAAAGAAAATTAAGCAAATCTATAGTTGTCATTGCCCTATGTATGTAATACATAAATAATATTGCTCTAAATTATCCAGAGATAGTTTAATAATCAGATTTATATAGTTTATAACTAATTATATCACTTGCAGGTAGAAATTAAGTAAATTATAATCAGAAGCCATTGTAGAATAAAAGATGACAAAGGAAAACACACTATTAAACTACTTTAAAAAGCATTTTGGCTTATAGGTTTCTCCTTTTACAGGTATAGAGTAGTGTGAGCCCATTTCTGATTTGTGGTTGCTTTTAAGAAACTTTTTGATTGCCTTATATATTTTTATAGAAATCTCTAGAAGAAAAGAGTGGATGCTTGCTGAAATTTTCGGGTGACTTGGATGATCAGACTTGTAGAGAAGATTTGCACGTCCTTTTCTCAAGTCATGGTGATATAAAATGGATAGACTTTGTCAGAGGCGCAAAAGAGGTTTGAAAACACTCATATGCTTTATAGCAATCATTTAAAAAGTCTGTATAAACTTATCTTTTAGAAGATAAAATTAGTATCAAGAAAGCAGTTTTTTAATTTGTTTATTAAAATAGTTTCTACTTGGTCATTTATGTTTCGTTATTCCTGTCACTGGATGTGATGTCTGATATTTTCTGAATTATACTATGAATAATTATTTGTATTGGTAATTGCAGTTTACTTTTGTAGCATTCCTTTTCTAATGTTCAGTAAAATTCATTCAAACTAGTAATGGCATGGAAGATTAGCAGGATGGGAAAAATTACTTTGAACAAAGAAATTAATTGTGGGACTGAAAACTAAAGGTATGGTTTTAATTTTTTTCCTTTGGCATAGGGGATAATTCTGTTTAAGGAAAAAGCCAAGGAAGCACTGGATAAAGCCAAAGATGCAAATAATGGTAACCTACAATTAAGGAACAAAGAAGTGACTTGGGAAGTACTAGAAGGAGAGGTGGAAAAAGAAGCATTGAAAAAAATCATAGAAGACCAACAAGAATCTCTAAACAAATGGAAGTCAAAAGGTCATTCTGTTTTTTCTTTAACACTTGGTTATTTTAACTCATTTGCTTAAGTAAAAATTTCAATCAGTGTTAAAAAACATTGGCAAGAGACAGTTTCTTTATTAAGTGTTCAATTATATCTTCTACAGGTCGCAGATTTAAAGGAAAAGGAAAGGGTAATAAAGCTGCCCAGCCTGGGTCTGCTAAAGGAAAAGTACAGTTTCAGGGCAAGAAAACTAAATTTGGTAGTGATGATGAACGCGATGAAAATGGTGCAACTGGTAAGTTTTTTCTAAGTCTTTTGGTAGTTTCATGAGAAATTTGTACATTCATAAGAAATTATTTGTCAGGGAGAAGAGGGATGTGGTTTTTTAACTTCTGTGTAAGTGCCAATCTTTGATTATAACAATGTATCTCAGTTGTACTGTTTTATGGGTGGGAGACAGGATATTTAGAAGATAAGAGATCAGATGGTCTGTGCTAAAGGAAAAGCCTTTTCTCATTGGTGCAATGAAGTTGTTCCTAATCTTTTCAAAAAAGAATTAACAATTGTGCTCCATATTAAAACAGAGCTGTGCTTACACTGAATCTAACAAAAATTTTGTTATTGTCTAGGACCAGCGAAAAGAGCAAGAGAAGAAACAGACAAAGAAGAACCTGCATCAAAGCAACAGAAAACAGAAAATGGTGCTGGAGGAGACCAGTAGTTTAGTAAACATATTTTTTATTCATTTTAATTAGGTTTTAAACTGCCTTTGTTTTTGCAGACTTAAAATGAAAACCGAATTAGGTCCACTTCAATATCCACCTGTAAGAAAGGAAAAGTTTTTTGTTGTTTAACTTGTCTTTTTTTGTTGTTATCCAAATGAGGACTTTATTTTTAATGTATAGTTTGTGTTATTTCAGATGACTCAAATATCAAAAGGAAGATTCTTCCACTAAATTGCCTTTGTAATATGAGAATGTACTAGTACAAACTAATAAATATATACTGTATAAAAAGAGCAGAAACTTATTTTTTCCTTTTTGTGCCCAAAGCATTTGAGAAAATTTAAAACTAGACTATTGGCTATTAATTATGGGCTCTTCCCAGTTAACTTATCTTCTAGGCTGGCTTTCTATATTTATCCAGGCAACTTGAGAAAATTAGAAATAATTACTTATTACAAAGCTTTTCAATACTGAATGCAGATAAGCAAAAAATCAAGAGTCTTACTGATTTCTTTCTATGAAAGTTGTATGATGCTGGCAGGTCATATCGAAGTTCTGTAAAACAAAAGCCATCTAAAGGTAAAAAATACACTTCCAAATATTTATTACCCTTGGCTAAAACAACAACAATAAATCTCAAGTATTAAATGCTGGCAAACTGAATATTCAGACCTACCACTTTAACTTATCCAAGTACTAACTTGATAAAGCTCCAAGATTGGCCATGGCAAACTGAGCTTGGCATTTATGCTATTTTGGCCATTTACACCAAAATTTTGAGGTGATATAAAGAGTTTAGAAGGATAACAAGTGGAACAAAAAAGTAAATCCTATGAAAATGACAGTACTTTGCTATCAATATTTTTAATTTCCTAATCTGTAGCTAATTTATAATAACCATGCTTATTTCAAAATTTTCTTGTCCACATTTTAGTAATGGTAGTAAGTAGCTAATTATTTTCCTAATAAGCTCTCAAATGAAAACCAGTTTTTCATGTTCTTTCCTTGTAAAGAATAATGTAGATTCTTCAAACTCTTACTACTGATGTATTTTAGAGGCAATGACTCTGCCTGTCCTTCATATTTTTTAACATAAATTCTGATCCTGTAGGTCACAGCTCTCAAATTTTAATGTGCAATCAAATCACCTGAGGATCTTATTGAAATGCAAATTCTAATTCAGTATGTCTGGGGGAGCCTAAAATTTTATATTTCTAACAAGCTTTTCCAGTGCTGATGGTTTGAGGGCCATATTTGGAGTTGCAAGGATCTGTCTTGGTGTACTATTGGGACTGTTCTAAGGTATTCCATATTGCATATTGTAATACCTTAGAACTGTGTAAGGAATGATAATACTGAATATAATAGGAAGACCAACAGATTTTTAAAATACTAAGTTAATCATTATGAACATTAATACATCTAGTTACATGTTTAATACCACCAGGCAATTCATGGTTAGTTTATTATTGTGTAAAAAACACGTTCCCTTTATTGCACTCTTCAGGCTTTTCAAAGTTACTTGGATTATAGTAAGCCTCTAGTCATATGCTTTTCCTGCTTTGATGCTTCTGAATATTACCCAATTTAGTAATAAAAATGTATCAAACATGATTTACTCATAGTGTGGATGTTTATATTCTATCTCCCACCAAAAAGTAAAAGGTCAATGTTGTTTTACTACAGGGGCGATTAGAAAATTGAAATAGAAAGGTTATCCAGGCATAAGCTGGTGGTGGAGTGCATTTCAAACCAAGGTCTGACCAACCATGAGCCCATGTTTTTAGACATTGTGATGCTATGTTGTGTTCTGATTCGGTAGTGACTACTTGAGTGCCAATAGAAATTTTCAGTGAAATGCATGAATTGGGACAATCTCAGGCAAACCTTGCTAACTACTGTTCACCCTACCTTTACTCCATTTCCAATCCATTACAATCCACACACATTTACCACATTGAAAAACACATCCTATGGCACCTGTATAAAAATTTGGTTGGGCTAATGCATATTAGCCCTTTTAATTAATTAGGGTTGAGGCTTGTCTTACCTGCAATAATATTTATCTTGATTTTCCATTCTGCAGCTTTCTTTAGAATATGCTGAATATAAATAACATGTTATGAGCTGATTTTTAAAAACTGCTTTTTATTAATACTTAAGATTAAGTTTTCAAACTTTAAATTTCATTAGAAATTAGACCCCCCTCTTATAAAAACTTCAGGTAGATGGACAGTATTTTGAAAATAAGAAATCAACTACTTTTCAACATATTTAACAATCTGAACCAAATTACATAATTAAATCAAGTGATTAAAAAGCTGTCATGTAGAACATAATGATGTTTTGGTCAACAAAAGACTGCACATATTAAGGACTGCATAAGATTATAAGGGAGCTAAAAAATTCCTATTGCCTAGTGACATCATAGCTGTCTTGATACTAAAAGGCAGTACAGTATTTTTTTTTTTTTGAGACAGAGTCTCACTTTGTTGCCCAGGATAGAGTGAGTGCCCTGGCGTCAGCCTAGCTCACAGCAACCTCAAACTCCTGGCTCAAGCAATCCTCCTGCCTCAGCCTCCCAAGTAGCTGGGACTACAGGCATTCGCCACCATGCCCGGCTAATTTTTTGTATATATATTAGTTGGCCAATTAATTTCTATTTATAGTAGAGACGGGGTTTCGCTCTTGCTCAGGCTGGTTTCGAACTCCTGACCTCGAGCAATCCGCCCGCCTCGGCCTCCCAGAGAGCTAGGATTACAGGCGTGAGCCACCGCGCCCAGCCAATTTTTGATGTTTAGATATGTTCAGATAAACAAATACTATCGTGTTACAATAACCTATAGTATTTAGTACAGTTCCTATTGCCTAGTGACATCATAGCTGTCTTGACACTAAAAGGTAGTACAGTGCATTTTCGATGTTTAGATATGTTCAGAAACAAATACCATTGTGTTACAATTACCTATACTATTTAGTACAGTAGTGTCTGTTCAGGTTTGTAGCCTAGGAGCAATTGGATATACTATATGGCCTAGGTGTTATACTCTGTGTTCACACAGTGATGAAATTACCTAATGACATGTTTCTCAGGATGTAGCCCCATTTTTAAGGGGTGCATGACTTTCAGAAATCCATCAGTACTTGTATGGTTTCTGCAGCATTATTTCATTAACATATACAGTTAGCTATCCTAGAAACCATTTAACAGAGATCTATGTCCATAGGCAATTCAGTGGCAGTATGGTAAGAATGTGGTATATCAAGGTAAACCGCCTGCATTTGAACTGCAAATCTACTTACAAGTTATGTAACACTGAGTAAATTACTCATTCTCTCTGTGCCTCAGTTTCCTCATCTGTTAAATGAGGATAATAATACTGGATTGTTGTAGACTATGAAAAGTGTTTTGAACTTATGCTGGCACACATAGTAAGCATCAAATATGTTGTCTATTTACAGGTCTAAAATTCTTAAACCATTTTACAAAGAATTCTAAATTTTTAGTAATTTGTTTTTAAAAATTGCTTTATTAATTAAAAAATACACAACATTCCAACATCAATGGAAATGGAAAAAGAAAGTTGACCATAATGCCTCTAAGTCATGCATGTATACTTTCTTAAAAATGCTACAGTAAGAGATAACAATATTTGGTATTATAAGCATTTTGTTCATGTTGGAGTCTTAATAATATAATTGGCATTAGGTTGATTGATAAAATACTTAACTTTCCCCAATATTTTAGGTTCAAATATTTCCATGTTATAAATAATACTGATAATATATTTGTGCTTATAGTTTCTTCCTGAATTTAATAACTAATCCCAGTTCTGGGCATATTTTTCCCCTACTTTGAGATCTAGAATTTCTATATAAGGATAAGGATACAGATGTTAATTGCAATTTAATGGAATCTTAAGATTTTTAATAAATTTATGAGAAATAGAATTGTAACCTTTCTTTGTTACCTGACCCCTAAGGTTAGTGAAGGAGATTTTGGTTGTTAGATTATACAGTGGGATATGGTTGGTTCTGGCTGAGATGTAAAAGAACGAATTGGGTGAGCTTGGAATAAACACTGAAAGAATATAGTGCCAGGATTAGCTACTCTGCTATTCTGTCAAATCTAACTGAACCAAGAACTAAATCCTCACAATGCCTGATGAGGTAAGATATGGCAACAACTTCAAGTCACACAGCTTGTTAGCCTATCTGCCAGGATATACTTACTCTTTTACCTAAATCAGGAGTGGAGAACCTTCAGCCTTAGGACCACATGTGTCCTTCGAGGTCCTTAAATGTGGCCTTTTGACTGAATCCAAATTTTACAGAACAAATCCTTCTATTTTTATTTTTGTTTATTTATTTTTTTGAGACAGAGTCTCGTTCTGTTGCCTGGGCTAGAACCTAACTCACAGCAACCTCAAACTGCTGGGCTCAAGCAATCCTTCTACCTCAGCCTCCCGAGTAGTTGGGACTACAGGCATGTGCCACCATGCCCAGCTAATTTTTTCTATATATTTTTAGTTGGCCAATTAATTTCTATTTTTAGTAGAGACGGGGTCTCACTCTTGCTCAAGGCTGGTTTCAAACTCCTGACCTTGAGCAATACTCCCCTCCCGTCTCGGCCTCCCAGAGTGCTAGGATTACAGACATGAGCCACCATGCCAGGCTGAAAACAGATTTTTAAATGAAGATTGGGAATTGCACTATTATCTTGTTTCTGCTAAAGGTAAGATGATTTGCTTGCTTTGTGATATGGCAATATCAACATTAAAGAAATTCAATGTTTATCAGCATTAAAACACTCATAAAGGCCAGGCGAGGTGGCTCACGCCTGTAATCCTAGCACTCTGGGAGGCCGAGTCGGGTGGATTGCTCGAGGACAGGAGTTCGAAACCAACCTGAGCAAGAGCGAGACCCCATCTCTAAAAAAAACAAAAACAAAACACTCATAAAAACCACAAATATTTTAAATTGGAGAGGTGTGAAAGGTTGTATTGCAGAAATTAAAAAATGAAAAGCAAAAGTAAAGACAATTCTTTTAGGCAGCAATAAGACCTGGAAATAATCCCACTGAAGCAATTTATAAAGTGGCCCATATACTCAGGAAATAAGGGAAGCCATTCAGTGAGTAGAAATTGTGAAAGAATGCATTGTCGAAGTTATAGGATTCTTAGACCCTGATAACGTTTCAAAGTACAAACAACTGTCTCTTTCAAGGAGTACCATAACTGTTCAGCAGCATGAATTAGCTGATGCAACTTAACAGAGCAACTTCACACAAGACTTCCAAAGGAAAATATATACTATTCAATCGGTTTGGATGAATCAACTGATATTACTGACTCGGTGCAGGTTTTATAGTTCATTTGGTTCATAACAGATTTTCTTTGCTATGAAGAGTTACTCGCTTTGGGGACTCTTGTGAACAGAACACAGGGAATAGATATCTTCAACAACTTTCAAGATAAATGTTGTGAAGGTAGACTGAATTTGGTAAATTTAGTGAGTGTATATGTAAAGGTAGTACTCCTTTCATGACAGGAAAACATGTGAATGGTTTATTGTACAGATTAAAAAAAGTATTAACAGATCCAGATTCTCTCATTTCTTTGCACTATAGCTTACATCAGCAAAATCTCTGTGCTAAAAGCTACTATTTTAAGTGACACTTTGCAACAGTTACAAGTATTGTTAACTATACTTGTACAAACGCAATACCACATCATCAATTTCATGACGCAATACCACATCATCAATTTCATGACGTTAAAGTTGAAAGATGAAGTATTTCGTGTGGATTTGCTGTATCAATCTAAAGTGCATTGGTTATTGCAGGGACAGGTGTTAGCCAATATTTTATCTTGGTGGGAAGGGATAGTTAATTTTTTTTTTTTTTGAGACAGAGTCTCCCTTTGTTGCGCAGGCTAGAGTGAGTGGAGTGCCCTGGTATCAGCTTAGCTCACAGCAACCTCAAACTCCTGGGCTCAAGCAATCCTGCTGCCTCAGCCTCCCGAGTAGCTGGCACTACAGGCGTGTGCCACCATGTCTGGCTAATATTTTTCTACATATTTTAGTTGTCCAATTAATTTCTTTCTATTTATAGTAGAGACTGGGTCTTGCTCTAGTTCATGCTGGTTTCGAACTCCTGAGCTTGAGCGATCCACCCGCCTCGGCCTCCCAGAGTGCTAGGATTACAGGCGTGAGCCACCACGCCCGGCCTTTTTTTTTTTTTTTTGAGACAGATTCTCACTCTGTTGCCCAGGCTAGAATGCTGTGAAGTCAGCCTAGCTCACAGCAACCTCAAACTCCTGGGCTCATGAGATCCTTCTGCCTCAGCCTCCCGTGTAGCTGGGACTACAGACATGTGCCACCATGCCTGGCTAATTTTTTCTATTTTGGGTAGAGACGGGGGTCTCGCTCTTGCTCAAATGATCTGCCCACCTAGGCCTCTTAAAGTGCTAGGATCACAGGCGTCACCCACCACGCCCACCCAGATAAATTTGATGAACAGAATCAGCAATGTGAATTATTGGAAGAAGATATCTATAGGAATATAGCATTTCTGTGTGAGGTCAAATCAAAATAACAAATATTTCTTTGCAAGGTAAAAACTAAGTCTACATATGGTATGTGGCAAAAGATTCCAAGCATTTTGATAAAAGCAATCTTTTTTAAAAATGCTTCAAAAGGTAAGTTTAGATGAACATTTTCTCCAGTGAGCAAAGGTCACTGATGAGCAGGATGATACATGCAAATCATTTGAAGATTATGCAGCTGTTATAGACCTATTAATTGGAGATTATAATGAAAAGTTCACTGACTTTGAGAATCATGACATCACACTCAAATGAATATTTCAGTTTCATCTCATTGATATCACCAAGGCACCTAAAGAACTATAGATAGAACTGATTGAGCTCTCAGTAGATGACATTTTAAAGTCATTGATGCTGAGAAAGATCCAGTTGAAATATGGAAAAATGCAGTAGAATATTCATGCCTTTGGCAACATGCTAGAAAAATGCTTTCTTGCTTTTCAACCCTTTGTTGCTACAAATCTTCATTTTCCTACCTAACCCAAATCAAGATGCCCTTAAGATCACAAATGACTGATACCCATCTAGAGGATCAACTGAACTGTGGACCTCCATGCTACAACCATATATTCAATTGCTTTCTAACAAAAAACAGACACAGCAAAGTCATGAAAAGGTTAGTTACTCTTAAAATTAACAAATAGTTTTCATTTTTTGAAACTATTAAGTATATAGTAGTTAGATTTTTACAAAATAATGTATATTTTAAAGTATATTTATTTATTTATTTTTGAGACAGAGTCTCACTTTGTTGCCCAGGCTAGAGTGAGTGCCGTGGCATCAGCCTAGCTCACAGCAACCTCCAACTCCTGGGCTCAAGCGATCCTGCTGCCTCAGCCTCCCGAGTAGCTGGGACTACAGGCATGCACCACCATGCCCGGCTAATTTTTTCTCTATATATTTAGTTGGCCAATTAATTTCTTTCCATTTATAGTGGAGACGGGGGTCTCACTCTTGCTCAGGCTGGTTTTGAACTCCTGACCTCGAGCAATCCACCCGCCTCAGCCTCCCAGAGTGCTAGGATTACAGGTGTGAGCCACCACAACTGGCCTTAAAGTATATTTAATTGAAGTTTCTTGAATATGGCCTTACTTGATTACAATTAAATTCATGTGTCCTTCCAACATGAAAATGTTCCCCACCCCTGACCTAACTATTTCTATCAAAAAATTACATCAAATATCCCTGTACTATGAATAGAGGGTCAAGCATTTTTAAAAGACAAGGGTCTATAGTAAAGGAGTCTGGGGTAAGGTTCAGCAATAATGTTACTAATTATATAGAGTACTTAAAGCAAATAAAATTATAAGTTTACAGCAGCTATATCTACAGCATAAAATAGGGATTGTCTTAATATTAGAAGAAAATTCATTCCTCATACCTTCTTCCCAGTATGCATAATACATATCAGATTAATTTCTTTCTTTTTTTTTTGAGACAAGAGTCTCTCTCTATTGCCTGGACTAGCATGCTGTGGCATCAGCCTAGCTCACAGCAAGCTCAAACTCCTGGGCTTAAGCAATCCTTCTGCCTCATCGTCCCAAGTAGCTGGGACTACAGGCATGCGCCACCATGCCCGACTAAGTTTTTCTACATATTTTTAGTTGGCTAATTTATTTCGATTTTTAGTAGAGATGGGGTCTCGCTCTTGCTCAGGCTGGTCTCAAACTCCTGAGCTCAAACAATCTGCCTGCTTCAGCCTCCCAGAGTGCTAGGATTACAGGCGTGAGCCACTGTGCCCTGCCCAGATTAATTTCTTAATTATTTACTGTGCTAATGGAAATACTTCTGTACTAAGTGAAAAATACACTTAATGAAATATTCACTTAAAATCCAACCATTAAGTCAGCCAAGGCAATGCTGATAATGCAGCCTCCTAGTGGTATAGCATGGCAATACCAAACAGCAAACAGGAGTTTTTTGGTAATGTGGTTACAGGAATTCATTCAAATAATTGGATTTTGCTGCTTAATTATACCATATTTTCCTAGCATATTTCACTGCATGCACTGTTTGAGTTGGATAAAATATATGCTATGCCACCTTGTGCAGAAAAGAGTGCACAGTAGGCCTGACTGCTTATTCTTAAAAAGGCCTGCTTATAAATTTGGCCCTTGGCTGGAGCACAGGAACTTAGAGTCTGGGAAGGTTCCCTTTCTGCACCCCTTTAATTAATTATATGTGGCTCATTGTGCCCAAACTGTTTATGCTGAACACCTGTTTTCCTACTGGGAGTCAGGAATGGGGATATGTTTCAGAAAGGGGGATGCTATATGATCAGACACTGAGTTTCTAATAAGGTTCTCTGGTTGGCAGCATTTCACATGTGTTGTCACAATTCATGCTGGGGGAATTAAGTGTGTCCTGTGCTACTCCACGGCAAGAAGATGCAGGAAGTTTGCCCCTGGTTTCCCTGGACTTCACCCCAGACTTTTCCCTTTGCTGATTTTGCTCTCTATCCTTTTGCTGTAATAAATCATAGCCATGAGTAAGACTATATGCTGAGTCCTCTGAGATTTCCTAGTGAATCATCAAATCTGAAGGTGTTCTTGGGGAACCCCCAACATATGCTTTTTTGTTTTTGAGACAAGGTCTTGCTCTATTGCCCAGGCTGGAGTGTAGTGGCATGATCATAGCTCACTGCAGCCTCAAACTCCTGGACTCAAATGATCCTTCTGCCTCAGCCTCCCAATTAGCTGGGACTATGGACACATGCTACCACGCCCAGCTAATTTTTCTCATTTTCTGTAGAGACAGGGTCTCAGTATATTGCTCAGGGTGGTCTTGAAGTCCTGGCCTCAAGCGATCCTTCCACCTCAGCCTCCCAAAGTGCTAAGATTACAGGCCTGAGCTACCTCACCTGGCCTTACAAGCTTTTTGTATACCAATATTTACTGGTGTTGCTTTCATGTACTGAATGAGGGTTTATTTACCAGTAGTGTTCTATTGCTTGCCTACATGTACCACTACTCATTGTTAGCAGTATATTTCTTTTTAGCTGTTTGATTTTATACATTTTAAAGGCTTATTAGATCTCCATATACCTAGAATTTATTATTTCCAATTGTGTTCTTATACACTGTAGTTATACAAAATATTTTTCCTACAAAACCACTTTATTTTATTTTATTTTTTTTTGAGACAGAGTCTCACTTTTGTTGCCCAGGCTAGAGTGAGTGCCATGGCGTCAGCCTAGCTCACAGCAACCTCAAACTCCTGGGCTCAAACGATCCTCCTGCCTCAGCCTCCCAAGTAGCTGGGACTACAGGCATGTGCCACCATGCCCGGCTAGTTTTTTGTATATATATTTTTAGTTGGTCAATTAATTTCTTTCTATTTTTAGTAGAGACGGGGTCTCACTCAGGATGGTTTCGAACTCCCAACCTCGAGCAATCCGCCCGCCTCGGCCTCCCAGAGTGCTAGGATTACAGGCGTGAGCCACCGCGCCCGGCCTACAAAACCACTTTAAAATCTCATAATACATGTATGATTTGAGGTAAGAATAATAATAGCTAACACATAGTAATTACACAAGCCAGATACTGACCTAAGTGCTGTGTAAATATTATCCCATTTAATCTTAACAACTCTGAAGTAATGAGTATTCTTCTTAGTTCCTTATACTCAAGAGTATAGGTCAGTACAGTGTAGATGAGGAAACTGAAACTCAAATACCTTGACTAAGATACTTGAGAAGCAGCAGAGCTTGGATTTGAACCCAGGCAATCTGACTCCAGAGTCTGTGTTCTTTTTTTCTTTGAGACAGAGTCTCACTTTGTTGCCCAGGCTAGAGTGAGTAATGTGGCATCAGCCTAGCTCACAGCAACCTCAAACTCCTGGGCTCAAGCAATCCTTCTGCCTCAGCCTCCCAAGTAGCTGGGACTACAGGCATGCGTCACCATGGCCAGCTAATTTTTTCTATATATTTTTAGTTGTCCAATTAATTTCTTTCTATTTTTAGTAGAGACGGGGTCTTGCTCTTTCTCAGGCTGGTTTCTAACTCCTGACCTCGAGCAATCCACCCGCCTCGGCCTCCCAGAGTGCTAGAATTACAGGGGTGAGCCACCGCGCCTGGCCAGAGTCTGTGTTCTTAATCACTGTTATATTGACTACAAAAAACTACTCCCCCTTCCCCCAATTTCCTAGAACACATGGGAAACACCCTCCATGTGTTAGATGCTGTGAAAAAGAATAATGGAATAGGTAGTTTCTGAACTCTGATCTGTTTAGTTCCAGATTCAGTTCTTAAAAACCAAGGCTTACTGCCTCCCTTAAGCACATTAGGTCACACAGGGACAAGGGGACAAAAGGCATCAACTAGGACTTACCCAGGCAACTAAAAAAATACTGTAACCCATGTTATACCACACTTCTCTACTTCTTAATTATAGTCTTTTTCCTGGCAACAGTTCCTGTCTAATTTTTTTTTTTTTTGAGACAGGGTCTCACTCTGTCACCCAGGCTAGAGTGCAGTAGTGTCATCAAGGCTTACTGCAACCTCCAACTCCTGGGCTCAGGCAATCCTCCTGCCTCAGCCTCTTGAGTAGCTAGGACTACGAGCATGTGCCACCACATCCAGTTAATTTTTTTATTTTTGTAAAGAAAGGATCTCATTATGTTGTTTGGGCTGGTCTTGAATTCCTCGCCTCAAGCAATCCTCCCCGCCTTGGCCTCCCAAAGTGCTAGGACTATACCACCATTCCCAACAATGAATAAATCTTTGATGATGACAGAAGGCAGTCATATAGGCTAGAAAAAAGCTAATCTCAGTTGCTTGCTGGTTGAAGAGGAAATTCAGTTTCTAAGTGTCAGATGTCAAAAAGGTCAGGAGAAATAGATACTGTGGTATTTAGTATGCACAGCAAATCCCTAAAACACTACCATGAATTTAAAAATAAAGGATTCAGAATATCAAGATGATTTGAACTTACTTCTCTAGTTGAGGATTTGTGTAAAGAATATACTGCTGTTCTTGCCATTTCCAAAGCAGTCTTTAGAAAAGCCATATCTGTTCCTGTGATGAGTAGAAAAAACCTCCTATTTATATTATGTAACTCTTATTAAAATAGAAGATTAAATGAATAGGATTTAGAAAGATTTTCTTCCATCAAAACTAGCAGCTGAAAAAAAAAAGAAACATTTTCTTCCAAACTCCAAAATAGCCACTTTAAGTTCTTTCTGTAGTAAGACAGAGTACAAATAAATAAAACATCAGAATATTCGGTTAAGGTTGATAGAATAAAACCAGAATTATACTGTCTTGATTAAATAGGCTAAAGCAAGAATTTTGATATTATATTCCAACTTAATGACTTTCAAAAAGAGAAGGGAACACATAGGGTAATAATCAGAGTCATCCTGGCAGGAGGCAGGTACTTTTAAAACTATATATGTCTTTTCCTCCTTTTATTGACTTTCTACTCACCTTGCCCACAGTACACACAAAATTAATAGCCACAGTGAGTTACTGTGACTTATGGGCACATGTTGAAATGCTTGAGTCTGTTAAGGCATTAAAAGCAGGTTCTTTCTGACTGCCAGAATGTTTGAGATAAAAAAAAAAAAAAAAAAAAAAAAAAAACCAGGTTGTAAAGGTATATAATCTTTTATAACTTTCACAATTATTCATAAGGATTAGGCAAATTCTTCTTTTTTTTTTTTCTTTTTTGGAAACTAACCTAGATCAAGGGAAAATTATTCTTGAAAGCAACTGGGGTATAAGTAATAAAATAATAAATAAGGAGACTATCTTTAATTACTTAATACAAATTTGTAAAAACAAAGGTTGAAAAATTCAATCCCTAGCCATACATTTAACAAATTGAAATCTAAATTGTAATAAGTTATAGGTAATAGATTGGTTTATTTAATGAATAGTGATAAAATAACTTAATCCAAACTAGTCAATGATAAAATAATTTTTAAAAGTTGCTTTTCTACAAATACACTCTATACTTGATTGTTACCAACCTTTATTATGTTTGGTCCCAAAGGGAGGATTCATAATTACTGTATCAAATGACTTGGACATTCTGTTAGATAATGAGCACACATCACATTGAACCATGTCAACATTTGTTAACTCAAATTCTTCCACATTCCTATTAAATATTTCCAATGCATCTTCATCTATGTCAAATCCAACACACAACCTATAAATACAAAACACACACAAAGAGTTACCTTTAGCTCCCAAGTCAAAACAAACCAAAACTATTTTAACCATTTGCATTTTTAAGCCAGTTGGCAAACTAAGAGTGAGTTGTCACTTTTCAATGGCATGATTTCTCAACCTAGTAGAGGTCAGAAACTAAGGTTTGTATATAGGGGACTGCTGCTGTTACCATGTGTATTTATTTATTTTTTATAGTTTTTTTTTTATCTTCTGCCCATTCAAGATGTACTCAGTATCGATTCTTGCTCCTCCCGTAGAGTCCCATAAATATAATTCAGTTTATCCTATTTACGCTTCCTTATTAAAGCCACCCCATATCCAAATAGTATATACTGGATTACCTACCCAGCTCCTAACATTGCAGTTCCGATGCTAAGCACTCCACAACCACATCCTAGATCTGCAACAATTTTATTTTCAATGTCATCATATGTGTTATGGATTGTATAGAGCATACATGCTAAAAAAAAATTAAAAACTTCATTAGGGAATAAGTAAGCAAGCTGATGATAAGTCCAATTTGTACAAATGACTTTTTTTGAGACAGTCTTTTTTTCTTTTACATTATATATATATATGTATTTTTTTTTTTAAATGGCAGGTGAGTTGTTACAGACTCCTTAGCAGATTTCGATGATACAGAGTCTTGCTCTGTCACCAAGGGTGGATAGAGTGCAGTGGCATCATCTTGACGCACTGGAACCTCAAACTCCTGGGCTCAAGAAATCCTCCTGCCTCAGCCTCCAGAGTAGCTGGGACTACAGCCTCGAATGAGGATGCCTCTAGCTAATTTTTCTATTTTTTAGTAGACACTCTTGCTCAGACAGGTCTCTAACTCCTGAGCTCAAGCTCAGACAGGTCTCACTCTTGCTCAGACAGGTCTCTAACTCCTGAGCTCAAGCAATCCTCCTACCTTGGCCTCCCAGAGTGCTGGGATTACAAGCATGAGCCAATGAACCCAGACAAATGACTCTTTCTAAAAAAATTTATTTTGCATTATTTAGTCCTCCCCCAAATGGTGTTCCAGATTATTAAAAAAAAAAAAAAAAGATAAGCTGCAATAAATTGGTAAACAGTAAGAGGCACCATAAGGAAGGCTAACACATGCCAGTGGTTCTCAAAAACTAGTCTCTGGCCTGGCGCGATGGCTCACGCCTGTAATCCTAGCACTCTGGGAGGCCGAGGTGGGCAGATTACTCGAGGTCAGGAGTTAGAAACCAGCCTGAGCAAGAGCGAGACCGTCTCTACTATAAATAGAAAGAAATTAATTGGCCAACTAATATATATAGAAAAAATTAGCCAGGCATGGTGGTGCATGCCTGTAGTCCCAGCTTGAGACAGAGTCTCATTTGTTGCCCAGGCTAGAGTGAGTGCCTGGCGTCAGCCTAGCTCACAGCAACCTCAAACTCCTGGGTCAAGCAATCCTCCTTCCTCAGCCTCCCAAGTAGCTGGGACTACAGGCATTCGCCACCATGCCGGCTAATTTTTGTATATATATTAGTTGGCCAATTAATTTCTTTCTATTTATAGTAGAGACGGGGTCTCGCTCTTGCTCAGGCTGGTTTCGAACTCCTGACCTCGAGCAATCCGCCCGCTCTCGCCCTCCCAGAGAGCTGGGATTACAGGCGTGAGCCACCACGCCCGGCCTATATTTCTTTTGATATTTTTGCCTTTCAGAGTGTCAAGTAAAATGAAATTATACAATATTTAGCTTTGCTAATTTGTCTTATTTTACTTAATGCAGTGCTTCTGATATTCATCCATGTTGCATTTATCAGTAGTTCCTTTTTATACTTCTGAGTTGTATTCAGGTATAGATGATGTACAACAATATATTCATTCACCAGTTGATGGACATTTGGTTGTTTACAATTTTGGTGATTTTGAATACAGCTGTTTGCTTAGTCTGTTTGAGCTGCTATAACAGAATACCACAGACTGGGTAGCTTATAAACAACAAAAACTTATTTCTCACAGCTCTAAGATCAAGGCAGATTCAGTGTCTGGTGTGGGCCTGTTGGTTTATAGATCGTGCCTTCTATCTGTGTCCTCACATGGTGGAAGGAGTGAACAGGCTTTGACCTGTTTTATAAGAGCAATAAAGAATGGGATTAGTGCTCCACCCTCAAGACTAATTATGTCCCAAAGACCCCCACCTGCTAATACCACCACCTTGGAGGTTAGGATTCAACATACGAATTTGGTGGGGGACACAAACATTCAGACCATAGCCCTGTCATAAACATTTGTATACAAGTTTCTGTGGAAACACACATCTTCATTTTCTTGGTAAATACAAATGAGACTGCTGGGTCATATGATAAGTGTATGTTTAACTTAATGAGAAACTGTCAAACTATTTTCCACAGAGACTGAACATTTCACATTCCCACCAGCAGTGTGTGAGAATTCTGGTGCTCCACATCCTCTCTAGCATCTGGTATTGCTAGTTTCTTATTTTCTTCCCTCTCCCCCCTTTTAATTTTAGCCACTCTAATAGGTGCTAGTGGTTGTTATTAAATTTTTCAAATGTTTATCTTTGGCTTCCCCGTGTAAGTAGTCGACTGTCTGTGAAGAGTTACACGTCTTATTTAGCTCTCAGTTACCATTAGAACAGTGTCAATGACATAGAACTTATAGGAAATTTTATTAATCCATCAATTAAAGTTTAAGCAAGAGATCCCTGATCACGTGGGGAAAGTTCTGACCATAAAGCTTGTGGCATCCACTTAAATCACTATTTAACTCTTTATCAATGCCTTGTAATCTTTTTATCAATGCTTATAACAAACCAATGATCTTGCTCCTACATTTTTAAAGATTTGCAACAGAAGAGACTCTCCTCTATATTTTAAGTCCTTACCACCATTATGGAGATTTTAGTGTGGATAATCCACCAGACTCTGATCTTCTCTTCCCTCTGCTCCACTGCAGCCACACATTCTTATGGCCTAACTCCCAGCATTGTCATCTCTTAGAATGGTCCATATACCAATGTATTTTTTTACCCATTTTTACATTTCAGTGGCTGAATTTTTTAAAAGCACAATTGAAAGTAAATTTACAACATGATTTTAAGTAAATTACAGAGATGTGCAAACATCACTGAAATCCAGTTTTAAAGCATTTCCATCATCCCCGAAAAGAATCACTTGGGCCATTTGCAATCACTGCTCCTACCTCCAGCTCCATGCATTATACACAAATTTTAAACCTCAATATTCCATTTCCTTAACTCAACCTCTACCATTCTGGATCTCTCATTTCTCCTTTCTTCCTTTAAGCCTGTTGTTTACATTACAAGCTCTGATCCCTGGTTATATTAATACTATAATTCCCTCAATCTTATTCCTTTCCTTTTCG